AAAAAAAAAAAAAAAATTTTTTTTTCTTTTAAATATAAGGTTTCGAAAATCTCTCAAACAAAAAAAATTAGTTTTTAACAAAACCAAATTAACCGAGTTTTTTTGAAACATTTTTTTTTTCCCCAAAAAAATTTTTTTTTCTTTTTTTTAAAAAAAAAAACAAAATCACAATAATAATAACAACTTCCTTCTCCTTCTCAACGAAAACAAAAAACCAAAAAAAAAAACCCAAAAAATTTTTTTATAATCTCAAATGATCGTTTTACAACCCGCTCATAACGAATTCAACAGTTTTAATAATCCAAGGTCTTTTGATTCTACCTCTATCGGAAATTTCTCCCATATTCCTTCTCAGAATATTCCTACTACCATGTATCAAGCTGCTGCTTCAAGTCAATATCAGACACAACCTTTCGTGTACGGAAATCCAAGTATAACTTATACTTCCAACAACAATAATTTTAGAACGTCTCCGGCTTCATCTTTGCCCAGACAAATGCCGACAGACGCTTCTTTTGGACTTGAAGCTAACAGTTATTCTCAATTGACTTATAATAACAATAGATACGATCAATCAACGGGTACTGACGGTTCGAAAGCTTCATCTCTTCAACAAAATCCTGCTTCAAGTATGATTCCTTCAACTACAACTGCCAATTTATCCCCCGATTCAAACGTTCTTCCTCCTTTATCCGAAGTTTTCTCTTCATCATCATCTGCTCAATCACCTACTCAATCTCAAGTTCAAAACGCTCAACAAGTTCAAAATCAACAAGTTGCTGCCGCTGCCGCTGCTGCTCAAAACAATTTTTATTATTCTACTGATGTTGCTAATGCTGCGGCTGCCGCTTCATATGCTGCTGAATCAAATTATGGTAATAATCCAAATTCTTTAATGTCTCAAGCACAACAATCTCTTGGTCAACAAGCTGCACAACCTCAAATCGCTACAAATATACCTACATTACCAAGAATTGGTAATGCTGCTGATTTACAAGCTCAAATGTTAGCGAGACGTGAAAGTAATGCTTTATTAGCTATAAATACTGGTATGTTGGGTACTTCAGATCAATCCCCTATAAGTGCGGGTTCATCAGCGACTTCTCCTATAGTATATCAACAAGCTGCACATCAAGCTTTATTAAATAGTCATTTTATGGCTGCTACACAATCAATGAATGGTGGTCTCATTCCTTCATCACAACGTCTTAATGGTCATCGTAAAGGTTTTAGATCAGATGATGGTGATTTAACTTCAGCAACAGGAGATCGTCCACAAAAAGTATATTCATTTGTTGCTTTACCGGGTATTAATACAAAGAAAAGACCTCGACGAAGATATGATGAGATTGAACGTCATTATGCTTGTAATTATCCTGGATGTACAAAGAGTTATGGAACTTTAAATCATTTAAATGCACATGTGCAGATGCAAAAACATGGTCAAAAGCGACATCCATCTGGTAAGTCTTAAATTTATTGCGTACGATAATTTCGTATACGATTTATTTAAGTAGGGAATTTTTATTAAATTTTATTATTTTCCTTAGAATTTAAGGAACTCAGAAAACAATGGAGAAGACAAAAGAGGGAAGAGGAGGAACGTAAAGCTGCTGAAGTTGCTGCAAACAAGAATTCTGCCGTAGGAGGATTAAATATATCGTCACTTTCATCAATATAAAAAAAAAATTCCATGTAATAATTTCAAAAACAAAAAAAAGGAACAATTATTTTTCTCAAGCATCATTTTTTTTTTTCTTTATTCTTTTTTTTTCCCCTTTCTTCACTAAAAATCTTATGCATATATGATTAGGTTATATAGTAAATAGGATATGCAGGACAATTGTTTTTTATAAAAAAAAAAAAAAAATATAAAAAAAATTTTTTAAAAAATCTCTCTTATTTTTCTCCCCTTTATTATACAAATCCCTTTGCACAAAAAAAAAATCATGAATCTTTTTTTTATATATTTTCCCTGTTATATTTTTCTTTTTCGTTTTCGTTTCTCTTTTTTCATATGATGAGTAAATTAGTATATGATGGAGATTGGAGGTGGTTGGCTTCTTTTCTTTTTTTGAGAATGTGTGCAGCTGGCAAATTGAAAAAAAAATCAACATTCCATTTGTCACTCACGTTTTTTAAAAAAAAGAAAAAGGAAATAAAAAAAATATCGAGAAAAAATTGTTTATAGTATGTCAATAATCAATATTGTGGAAGTTCTTTATTGTTTATACAAAAATATGTATGCCGTTTGGTATATATATATATATATATTTTTTTTTGTAATAATAATAAACGGAGAGAAGGAAAAATATATATATCAGACGAACATTATATATGTTTTGATAATAATAATAATAATTAGATCAGTCTTAACAAGATCTCTATGTTTCCCTTACGGGTATCTAAGAATTTATATATATATAATATATATATATACTTTTTTTTTCTTTACCTTTTTTTATTATAATACTTCTTCCTTTTTTTACAACTTAATAAAATTCCCTTGTTTATTTTTTTTTTTTTTAAAAAAAAAGAATTGATCAACTCCCTCTTAATATATTATTCGGAAAATTTAATTTTTTTTTTAGAAAAAAATATTTATTTCATTTCCCAAAAAATTTTACTTTTTTTGTAAAATAAAAAAGTAATCCGGGAAATTATAATTGTTTCAATATTGTATATAAGATTACAAAGATTATTGAAAAAATCATGAAACAAAAGAGATCATCATCAATCAACGTGTAAGAAGAACATTTCACATTATATACATTTTTTTTTTTTTTTTGTTTAACCTTCAATCCATATGATCTCATACATAACTTTTGTTAACCATGTATACGAATTTTTTTATTTTGAATCACAAAGGATCGAGAACCGCAGAGTAACTTTTTTTTAAAGCTGACAAATTTTTTTTATATATATTTTATTATGTATATTATATTATTTCTTTTACATATATTTATCAGACTTTGTATATATTTTTTTTTTGATTGTTATACGGCAGAACGCATTTTTAACGGGAATGATCGGATTATTTGTTTAAAAAAAGTTAGGAAGTTAATTATGTAATGTTTAAATATTTTCACGTTTATTTTAGTAAAAATTAGGATGTTCATACATTTCATACATGAATAATGAATTATTTGGAATATTATACTTACCATATTTCATATGATTAACTAAAATGAGGACAATTGAAATTCCGAATACATTGATAATTAAAGTTTTATTTTTTAAAACGGTACGGAATTTTTAATGGCAAGTATTACGAGGGGAGCCGAAACTGCGCCTCATAATAAGGAAAATCTAATTATTATCCAAAATTCCGTACGGATGAAGCCGATGTATAAGAATATGAATGAATATGTTCTACCCCAAGCCCCCAGGCTTTTTTTTTCAAATTTAAAAAATCTTTTACGTTAATTTATGATGTTGGTTTTTTTTTAAAAAAAAATTTCGGATATTATTTGAAATTATTTATTAATTAAATATAATAAATTAATTATAAATAATTAATTATAATTTATAATTTATATTATGTATAATAATGTAATGTATTACTTAATATTTAAACGAAAATCATTTTTTTTTTTACAGTTAAGTACTACAACGCGTGCAGTATCAGAATCAAAATTCCGTTTATTTACTCATTAAATAAGGATCTTTTATCCAAATTTGTTTAAAAAAAAGGACCCAAAATTTTTTTTTTTTTTTTTTTTTTTTT